TCTTTTCTGAGATGCTGTAAAACTTCGGGAAGTGCTATTCTACGAAATGATAGATGACATATATATGTATTTATTCAACCGCTTATATTCTGTAAACGAATACTTTCGGATATATCCGCCTGGTTCCCCACTGTGTGACGGATGCTGGCATAGGTGTGTATTTGAGTTTATGTATTGATTTTCTACGGGCGAATATCCTCACCTACGCCCACATCCTGACATGATTTATAATTTTTTTTCGTTTGTGAAAAATTCTGTGCGCAGCTACATAGTTTATTTTGAAAAACAAGGTGTACTTTCCTCAAGATTATATTCTTTTTTCTAACTAATGGCCATTGTTTAGCATTTCGATGTAATCTTACTTCTGTAAAATACTGTCTTACTTCACATTTTTCACATAAGGGTAATCCCCTATGAATTCAACCATTGATACCGAAGTGGTGACCGATTTCGATGAAAATTTTAGGGTTTGCAGAGCTTTTAATTCTAAGACTTTGATAAAAAAACTTTTTTCAGAAGCTTTTGTTTTGACTGAGATAAGTCCAAAATACCGGAAACAGGAGAAATCGAGATACACTGAATAGTATAGAAGTATGGCGAAAACTATTTATAAACAATTTTCCAAAAAAAAGTGCCTTTCAATGTATCTCGATTTTTCCTATTTTCAGTATTTTGGACTTATCTCAGTCGAAATAAAAGCTTCTGAAGAAAAAATTTTCATCAAAAGTCTTAGAATTAAAAGCTTTACAAACCCTAAAATTTTCATCGAAATCGGTCACGACTTCGGTATCAATGGTTGAATTCATGTTGAGTTACCCACTAAAAATTTTGCAGATAAATTATATATTGTTGTTAAACGGTTCAAAACTTTATTATCATTACTTTTAATATGGATATTTGTCGTATAAATTGTCTTGATAATCATTTTTTTTCTATTGTTGTCCTTGATATATTTTTTATTATCATGGGCAATTAATCTTCGAAATATCAAAATACATAATTGTTGAGTACTTAAAGTTGAAGTTTTACGAGTGGCAGTTAATAGGCAAAGATACGAGAACAATAAAACGCATAAATCATTTTTTTTTTTGCTAATATAAAAGGATAAAGTTTTACTGAGGAAGCTGTTTAGTTTACGAACTGAAGGTCTATCGATCGATACTTCGGTGTGTTCACATTTCTTGTGTCTTGTTTAGAAAGTCCTACAACGATTCTCGTAAGCCTCACTATTGTATGTATATAAGAACTGAATCTTGTCCAGCTAACCATAGTAGGTCCCTGACGCGTTCCTTCCAAAAATTTGAATTTAAATTTTATAGAATTATATAGCATCTGTAACAGGTTCTGAAGAATGTTTGTATTGGATTGGTCAAGAAATTTTCTGCGTTTTTTTAAAAAAATTTCATTTTGATTTTTGACTACCAAAGTGGAACTAAGCTTCAATAATGTCTGCTCCATTACTATTTCTGACTTGTCGCCAACGCTCTGGAAGCGAAACAATTCCGCGTTCTTAGAACTCCTGAGAGTTTTGGCTGAAGAAGTTACCGAGGTACATTTTGAGGTCGTGTTCGTCATCGAACTCTTTTTGGCGCAAATTATTGAGAAGAAAAAGGAAGAAACGATAGTTAGTGGAAGCCAAATCTGAAGAATACGGTAGATACGGAAGCACAGTCCATTCGAACTCCAATACTTTTTCACGCGTTAACTTTGCAACGTGAGGTCTGACGCTGTCATATAAAACATAAATCTTTTCCTGTTTTTCCAGAATCTTGCTGCAACTCGATCCAGTTGCTGACATTAGATATCAGGAGTACTAATGCTACCAATTGGAAGAAGCTCCTAATGAATTACGCCTCTTACGCCCTACCAAGCGCTCAACGTGACTATCCTGGTTGAAGTTTCCTTTTTTGACGTTGTTATACCGTTTTGTCCAACTTCCAGCCATTGTCACTTGCGCGTGTGATTGACATAGATTATTCACTTTTCATCGCCGGTAATCAGACTGCGGAGCCATTCGTAATTATGATGAGAAGTCACTAGTTCCATACATGCGTCTACCCTATGTTGGAGCTGAAGCGGTGACAACTAGTGGGTTATCCAAACTCCATATTTCCACATTTTGCCTAATTCGCTCAGCTGTATTTTTACTATAGTATGAGAGCATCCAAGCCGTTCTGCTAGATGCCATGTAGTTGATCTCGGTTCTTCTTTACTGAGCTACTTTAATACATCCATATCCATCTTGAGACGAGGTAAATTGTTACGTTCGAAGCTTCTCTTCTTAAATCGATTGAGCCAATATTGCGCTATACAAATGGAGAGTACATCATTGCCCATCGTGTTGTATATGTTGCTTGCTCCTTTCGTCACTCTGTGATCCAAACAGAATTCATGAAGTAAAAGCACTCGAAGCTCTCTACGAGACTTTTACTTTTCTAATCCGAAACTAGCTTCTTTACTCATAGTTTTGTTGTTGTTTGCAAGACATTCGTGTCCTTTTCATATACTCTGAGTATGGAAAATTCCAGAAGTTTTGTGACTTTTTCTAGAGAGTTTTAATAAAAACGCAAAAACTTTCTTGCCAACCTAATAGAATACTCCCGCTGATTCTGAAAGAATCCTTCAAAAAGCCATGGAGTTCTCTATCAGCATCCTTTTAAAATATTGTTTAAAACCTTGGAAGAATATCAAAATTTTGTGGCTACGCGTTTTTATTCAGAATTGGAAAGTTTTCTAGTTGAGTCCTATTTGAATACCTATAGTAAACTGGAAATAATTCGGGAAAAAACTTGTTTTAAATCCAATGAGAGCTCTCAAATTTTAAAACTAGACGCTTCTTCCAGGATTTAGTCGTTTTTAGCAGAAAAAGCGACGAGTTCTTGTAGAGTTCTTGTTGGAACTTTCAAGGATCTTAAAAGTAAATGCCAATTATTTTCACTAGAAAATATGTACGTGGTATAAACAATTATATAGTACATGTTTTATAAGTAGTAATTATCAAGTTTAGATAAGAAATAATTACGTGCATATCGTTGATGGTTTTTAGAACAATATGCATCTTCAAATAAGTCGCATGTCACATGAGTTTTTTTTTATCAAGGAGAAGAATGCATTTAATTGTGAGTGTCGATGTACGTGTGAGTATTAGTGTACGTCACCGACTTGACTCTCTCGATGTCTACACTCACTCACTCACACCTTTAATGAAAGGTCGATCTTCTCCTTTTGCTGCTCACTCTATTCGATTGGACCTAGTCCTAGAAGTACTTCCGGTCATATTTCGTTACTATTCAATTCTCAGTCGAGTTTCTCCCTTTTATTTCAAATGTAGTTGTGTTCAAGGCGTTTTCTCACTATAGAAAACGATTACTTTAGCTCCCGATGACCGCTCTAGCAGGCAAGACTAGAATTCAGCCACAATCTCGTCACACACTCACACATAATACATAGAACTGATATGTTCCGAAGCGTCAGCCGCTTTTCCATTCATAAAGATTAATTCCTTTTTAACACAGAATGTGTATGTTTAACTAAGAGAAGATGACCCAAGGGGGAGGAAAGCAGACTTCTGTACTTTTGCGTACTCGTCTCGTACTTCTTCATACTTCTGATCGTCTGATGTACAGAAGTCCGATTTTTCCACTTGAGATCACCACGTACACGCACATTCGCCCATACCTCGATACACCGATTGTAATACCGTTCGAAATGCTGAAGAGTTTAAGATAATGTGGGGTATCGAGAGCAATATTTTGATACGCTTGTTGTTCTAAAAAAGGGGGAAGTTTAAGGTGAAGCAGACCGCTGAGTCAGACACCAAAAAGTAATCATATTGTCGAATAACTGGATTCTATTCGAGTTCACTTAACTAGAGCGACGCCAATCGAATCGAATTGAGTACAGATTCTGTCAAATCAAAACCAATGGAATATGACTGAACCAATTTGGTACGCTAGCGACTTCCTTGTTAGCTGTTAAAGGGGTGTCAATCCATCAAACGAAAAATAGAATTTTTCTATTGTTTTTCTCTAATATAAAGCTCATTCGATTTGATCTGGAGCTTTTCAAATCTCATAATACTTCGAGATAATCTTAAGTAAACCTTATGCATTCCCAATCTACAAAACTTGTGAAGTAGTTTCTCGCATTTTGCAAGATATTTTCTGCATAGTACCACATTTTTATGATTTTGAGAAGTTTCTGAGATATTATCTGACTTCATAATGCGAGAAGTTCGCTAGTCTCGCAAAGAGTAGAGTATTCCCATACTAAGTTTGACATTACTCATTTACTGAGAAAATATTACTTCCATCTTCCATTGCAAAGCATGAAATTTTCAAAAAATTCATAGACGCCCTCGTTGTCGCTTTGGTCTGCATTTCACTTGGCAAAGCAGAGATCAATTACATATTCGCTGCTCTACGAGCTCGATAATGTTCGAATATAAGACTAAAACCAAACAAGGATTTCACAAGATAAAACCTGAGGAAACTTCAGTTTGGCATTGACGATCGAAATCGTTGAGTTTTAGGACGGCAGACACAATATCCAAAAGAACATAAGTATTAGTTATTAGCCGCCCAGGCGAAAGCCAGATAGACTTAATGTAAAAC